ACTACTACTACTACTGCTACCACTACACTACTGCCACTGCGTCTCCTGCTCGCAAGCACTGTCGTGTCGGCTGTTGCTTTTTGCATGTCTTCGCGATAGCCGATATGGTGCACCATCATCATCATAATCATCATAACCATCATCATCAGTCATCATCAATCATCATCAGTCATCATCAGTCATCATCATCACCACCACAGTCATCATGATCATCACTATCATCACCATCATCATCATTCTCAGCGCCGGCATCGACGTAGACATCGGTATCCGCATCAGCATCATCATCTTCAGTTTCGGCATCACCACCATCACCACCATCCCCGAAATTACAATTGTCTTCTGCTTTACCGTTGTCATTCCCACCATCATGCTTATCATCACCTCAGCATCTTACTGTCATCAGCCTCACTGCACCCATTGTCATCATTCAGTTTCGAGTGAAGGTATGTGTGATATTGAATTTCGCCTTTGTCCGCATGTCGCCTTAGGTGCTTCTACCTCGCCCGCTGTTTGGCAGACATCAGGTCGTGAGAGCGTCTACAGAGTCGACACAGGCATATACAGGATGCCCTCGTACCTGCTGGAGCTCGGCGCGAGACTTATCGCGATCTTCGGAGCTCCTGGAGGTCTTCGCAGCGTTCAGCTGAAGGTCAGCACGAAGACTGCCCCATGCCTTCTTCGCGGTCGGTGCCGAAGAAAGGAGCTGAGCGGTCCAGCCGGGCCTGAGTCCGAGCCCACATTGTCAAGCCGGAAGTGTCCCTCACAGGCAGTACATGATGGAGCACACGCGATTGGATCGATGCCAAGCGCATCGGCTTCTATCCAATTTAATTTGGCCTGCTACATATTGAACCTAGGAGACTCCCACCAGTGCACACTGCGATGCAGTGCAACAGGGTTTCTACTCCTCCCAAGCTGTCGGATGCCCAGATTATCAGAGAAACTACTTATGTTGTTTTTCTTCGTCCAGGAGTCCTCTTTAAGTCTTTGTCTTGATGCACACGGTGTCTCTCTGATAAAAGTTGAGACGGTACGGGGCGGCCGTACTCTAGGAGGTGATCGAATGCTGATCACGGCAGCACTGCCGCCAGACTCTGATTTTGCAGACAGCAGCTGCCAAAGCAACATGCATTGAAACAGCGAAGGACCCTTCATGGCTCTGGCCAGAACGCCATCTGCCGGAGGATGTACTCCTTCGACGTGTATCGTGATGACTGGCACATCAAGCAAAAGCAGGATTCTGCCGGAGGATGTACTCCTTCGACGTGCATCGTGATGGCTGGCGCATCGTGCAAAAGCAGGATGCATGATGTTGTGTAGTCCAGATATTTGCGTGGCACGGGGATCATCATGTTGTTTCACGCACAGCGTGAGTGCCGGTGCATAGCCCCAACGCTGACACTTAGCAACAGGTGATTCACTCGTGCGGACTATTCTCCACTTCTATCCTGGTGCCTTAAAGTTTTTTGCATCTCAAGTTCGCTCGATCCCAAGGCTGCATGAGCCGTGGTCCAAAGTGTGCTCGCGGTTCGAATCATTCATGATCATTTATGCATCTAAGACCGAGCCACGCCAACCAAGGTGCGTCCAGGTTGACCTTTTGTGGACACCCACGCAAATCAAGCATCAAGAATCAAGAGACTCACAGACAAACACGCAGAGGCAGTGCTCGATGCCCGTTGGTTCCCTTCCTTGGCGGCTTTCGCAGACCCCCCATCTGCCCCAGCTATAGGCGACCATTGTCGGTTGTGCTATTACCCCAGATGTTTCAATAGGCTACAATGCTTCGATCTTCTAGATAAATCCCAGCTTCGGCCTCCGATCTCATGACGATACGCTGCAGATCTAAGTCGTTCCTTAAAGCCCTTGAGCGAGCACATTAACCCTGGTACGAAGCCGCCGTGGTCATTTGCCCAACCAGTGTCTTCGCCTGCCATCATTCTCTGGACCAGGTCTTAGTCACCATTCCTTACTCAGCACGCAAAAGTGAAGCTCTGGCGGCGAAAATTCAAACCAACTGGCCTGGTGCGCTTTATGTCCCAGTTCTCACCAGCTACTCTTTCGCTTGACCCTCTCACGTGAGTCTCACGTGCAACGGATTTTCCCGTGAGTCGAACGGAACAATCCTTTGATACATGACCCCTTACCAGGGAGCCCTGTAAAAATTGAAGTCCTTCAATAATCATCCCAAGCCATGAGTTAGGCCAGCAGCATGGTGCTACTGCTCTTCGCGATGACGTACCGCGTGTGGTGTGCTTCTGTTGCCGTTTTGAGCCTCCAGTCTAGCTGTCCGTGGCCTGCGACTGGGCAAAACCGCCCACGTGCGGGCCTCGCGCGATTTTTTGAGAGTTGCTTCCATCAGTGAACTGCCCGTTCATAAGCTTCTACTCCGTTCCAGCGGAGGGAGCTTTGGAGGGAGCTTTGCCCGTTCTTTCAAGCTGCAAACTCAGAGTTTGCGGTTTCAGTCTACGTTAAACGCATGACATGCCCGTAGTTCAGACTCAGTTCCGGTACCGTAAGGCTTTGCCCGTTCTTGTTATAGTTGCTCGGACGACATGTGAGTGAGTTTCAGTGCAACGGCTCTTTGCAGGTGTACAGGTCAGTCGCACACACGTTCGGGAAGGGTCGGGCGATTCAGGGCTCAGACATTGCATGCTCCCATTTCAAAGATGTGTGTTTATGATGTGCGTGGCAGCAGGCATCCTGAGCCCACGGCTGCATCTCCCTTGGATGTTTTTTCAAGGGGAAGACTGCCTGTGGCTCAGTGAAAGCAGCTGCCCACCCTCCCGGGGCATGTCTCTTGGGCAACTCTGTGCCTGGTGCGCAGAGCAGTGAGGCATTTTGTGTGGCTGTGAGGCGAGGGCGGCGCCTTCACCCCCCTGGACAGGGCAGTGCGCCCCAAGAGCTCGGCAAAGTCAGGTCCGGGGTTCAAGCTCCCCAGCTTCCCTGCCTCTCTGCATGTATGCGAGGTACCTCTGTCCGGGGACTTCTATCGAGAACAAGATGACGTTACACGGGGACTTGTGTGCGGCCCCGAAATGGGTGCGAGCTTGCTGCATGCCTGAGTTCCCCGAAGCCCCACCCCAGGCTCTCCGAGGACGTTTTGGGAGAAACGAGCTTCTTCAAGGAGGAGGCCACAGCTTGGTTGCGGTTGCGGGAAGCCCGGAAGCCAAGATGCTGCAGGACACTCCGGAGCACATGAAGTCGGCCTATACGTTTGCTTCGACCGCTCAGGACTTGACTGCTTAACTAGCATCCTTCCAGCTCCGTTCGCCCTATCACTCTGGCAGGTGCATGAGAAGAAGCCCTAAGCCAGGAGATGTGAGAATCTAGAAATCTAAGTGGTGTAGCACTTAAGCCCTAACTGGAGATGTGAACTCACAGCTGCCAGTTGAAATTTCTTAGCTTGCTCAAGACCGCTCTCCGCACAACTCGTGTGGGGTTGCGTAAATGGACAGTGGGGTCCCCCGACAGGCCTCTCCGCCCAAGGCGCCGGGGTCATGAAGAGGAGTCCTGGTTCGAGGTCCCATGGAACCAGGGCTCACTTGGGACATAGCGCCCAGACTCAGTTCGAAGCGACGAGCCGGATCCCCTCAGTGAGCCGAGCCGTCTCAGCCATATGCAATCGCAGGCCGGAGTCTCCCTGCATGGTGGAGTTTGTCGGGGGCCCCATGCGGTGGCGGTTTGTGGAAGAGGACTTCCTAGAACCGGAGTCGCCAGCCAGGCGCCAGGTGCCAAAGATGCAGAGTCATCAGAGTCGCAGCCAGCCGAATTTGCATGACGTCACGATTGCTGCTGGGTGGGGTGAGAAATCGGAGCGCGAGCGAAGACTCGCCAAGCTTGTTTCCAAACTAGGATATTGCCCAGGTTTGCCGAGACGTGGCTTCGAATCTCGACTAAGCAGCTTCCTTCCGGCTGAATTTCGAGCCGGGTCCTTCAGCAACTATCGACCGAAGCCTCCACCGCAGAAATCGAGCTACTCTGGAGATGTGAACCTGGAGACCCGGCAAAACCTCCGCATCCTGGAGTTGCCGCCAGATGGTGACCGGCTGGTTGTCCGACGCTGGGGTCCAGGATTCTTCGAGTTGCCACCGAAACCAAGCCCGGACAGTGCTCCGAGAGGGACCGACCAGCCAAAACCCTTTGTGTCCCATGGCAATCCCTCTCCTGACATAGAGTCTTCCTTGCCATGAAAGTCGAAGGACGAAGCCCTGGAGATGCGAGAGCTTGCATGGTACCGAAGATCGGGCTGGTTGCGCACCGCTTTCGCTGTTTGTCGAAGTAGACGGAGGGAGGCGGCAAAGGGGACACCATTGAAGAAAGAGACAGTCCATGTAGATTTCTGTGCAAATGATGCAATCCGAGTCTGTCCCTTGCCTCCTCCCTTCATGGGCCGCATTGCTCACCTTTGTTCAAGCCTTCTGAATTCCCTATCTTGGCCTGTTACTTTGAGAAAAGGTGATGGTACTGCTCAGCCTTAGATTGCGCTCGACATGTCTGCATCATGCCTTGTTGTAGAGGGTTGAACATGGCTAGTCTGAAATGGAAGCGCATCCATTCAACTGTCCAGCTGCTACTTTGCATACCAAGCCCAGAACGCAGCCATTCCAGTTGTGCAGGCTAGCCAGAAGCTGGCTGGATGTGCTGCCCGACCAGCGTTCCAGAACAGTGTCCAGATCTTGGCAACTGTGGGGCGGTGAGCTTGTTTTGGATGTCATGATGCTTACTGAACAGTATTGCAACTCCTATCTCCTGCGTGTGCTTTCGAACTGCGTCTGGCCGCAGCCATGCGCTTTGTCCATGTTGTCGCTTTCCTGAGCTCTCGTCCCAGACAGTCTCTGCTCTCATTTTCGAAATTTGTCGGGCCTCGTTCATCCATCCGGCCTGATGTCCCCTGACTATACCCCTGTCCAGGACCGGCCGCCTGAGTATGCCCAAGACATTACCGAGGTGGGCTCTGGAGTCGGAGTTTCAAAGAGCTGTTATCCGTCGGATGTCCTCGTGCGGCTCTCACATTCACTATCATCCAATTGAGCCTCTGCATCGGCAAATGCAAGAAGCCACGTTTGTGTGTGTACCGAAGCTCAATACGCATTCATACGGTTGATGGACAAAATCCTGCATGACCTTAAGGACCCTAAACTATGGGAATTATGGTATATTCCTTATAGTGGGTAATGCAGGATTTTGTCCATCAACCGTACAACGAATGTCTCCCACGTTAGAAGCACTCTGGGGCCTAGACCTGGAACCCAAGCCTAAGCCCAGGTGCCTGAGAGTTTGGTTCTCAATTTTAAGCTGGGTTCTTAAACGACCTGTCTCAGAGCTCGGCAAGCATTCAACCTCTCCAGCACGGATTTTGAGGAGTTCCCTCTGCCTGAAGCCCCCCGCCCCGACCCCGTTCCTGAACAGAGGCCCCAGAGCTCTGCACACTGAGCCGCAAAGCCCTGAAGCCCTGAAACGATCTGCTGTTGCGGAGGCGACCTCAATCTTTCTTGAAGATCCTCAACAGGTGCGCGTATCCGCTGAAGTTCAGGGACCGCCGCAGAGGCTGTTCGGCTTCCGGTATGCACAAAACCCAGCCGCAAAACGCAGGTGGCGCAACCATTAAAACAAAAGCAAAAGTGTGTAAGGCCGTGATGGCCGCACATTTAGGAGCTGTTTTGAGGGGGAATGAATGAGCACGGTCGGCGTGCTGTGCCCCGCCGGTGGCGCAGGCGCTGAAGGCCTGTGGCAAACGCAGAGGCGGAGGATGCGGAGCTCTGGCAGCTGGTGGAGCCGTTCCCGCATCCGGCATGCAGTTGCTCCTGGCGGCCGGTGCTTCAAACATGCGGCGAGCACTTGAAGGAGATGCTGGGGTCAGTCCTGCAGTTGCTGCTGGAGGCGGTGCTCAGACGACGTGGCGAGTTCCTGAAGAAGATG